TAAGAGCCACCCACTTTTTCCTTTGAAAAGAGCTGGCTTCATTTGAGTCCAAGCACTCGCGTCAACCCCCTTTTTAATGGGAACATTTTAGGACGTCTGAAGTGCCTGCTTGAAACCCTTCCACAAGGACTCTTGGGAAGGTCGTAGGGGTCTCCCATAGTCTCATTTCTTCCGGGCAGCGTTTTTGGATACTGAAGCATGGATGTGTGGGTGGGATAATCTTTGCTATGATTCTTTTATCTTCCGCTCAAGAATAGCAACTGACTTCCCTAAGTAGGTAGGAACTCAGAACCGCGCTGTATGTTGGACAGGGAATGCGAGATAAAATGCTTGATGAATTTTCGGTAGCGCCATATTCTCCCGTAAAATCAGCGAGAGCGCTACCCTTCGTTCTTTCCGCCCGGATATTCCTCCCTAATTATGCACAATATTTTTTAAAATATATAACGATAATGGAGGACGGGGGAGAAAGAATGTCTATTGAATGAATGCAGATATGCAGAACTATTGCAACCTTTGCAATTCCTGAAAATTGCCGATTGGTTGAGAAAGCTATGGTTCGTTTTAAAAAAATAACCCGGGCTACATAAGGATTCGGTGGTGACTTCATTTCTAACCAATCAGAGCTAACGTAGGCACTGCGCAAAATGATATAACTGCAATGCTGCTTTTCCCGATATTTCGTTACAATGGGATGTGAAAGTGGTCGGTGTTGCTGATATGGTGTAACCCAATTTTCGGGAATGATCATGAGATGTTATCCAAGCATTAAACTATTTGAGGCGTCCTTAAGTTTAAGGAAGAAAAAAATGCACAGTAAACATTACCGAAGAACTATTTAATAAAATATTTTTTTAAAAAAACAACTAAGGATGTTCGAGGCACTTTTCGCCATCACACCGAAATAAAATGTTGAAATCGAGTACTGAAAAGGAAAAGAAATACAGTACACTAAATAAATATTTCTGCCAGCATGCTTGTAAAATCTTCCTTGGTAAACGGCTTTGTTATAATTCACAAATCACAACTCTCAATTTCCTGAGGTGCATTTAATCTCTAAAACTTTTTTGTAAATTACAAAAGGCGGTACAACTTCAAAAAAAAAGAGTTGTACACCAGCTTGTATATAGTGCTTTGTAAGCATAAAAAGAAAACTTGCGTCTTTGTAACACATTTCTTTATAAATGAAGAATCTGATTGGTCATATTCCAGTTCCTGGTTGATTTATTGATGGAAAAGCCCGCCTCTTGGAATTCTTAGGAGGAGGGGGCGAAAGTGATATACGCCCCTCTTCAAGTTCTCACTCAGGTCGGGTAAAGTGCTATATAAATGTTGCTCTTGCGCCCGACTATCATATTGTTCAGCGGCTCTTTCAGGGAGTGGTACTGATTGTTTTTGTCATGTCTGGTCGTGGGAAAGGCGGAAAAGGTCTTGGGAAAGGAGGCGCCAAGAGGCACCGGAAAGTGCTTCGCGATAACATCCAAGGCATCACCAAGCCTGCTATTCGCCGCCTGGCTCGCCGTGGAGGTGTAAAGCGTATTTCAGGCTTGATTTACGAAGAGACTCGCGGTGTGCTGAAGGTCTTTTTGGAGAATGTTATTCGGGATGCTGTGACCTACACCGAGCACGCGAAGAGAAAGACCGTAACTGCGATGGATGTTGTTTATGCTTTGAAACGCCAAGGTCGTACTCTGTACGGTTTTGGTGGATAAGTGCGTGAATCCCGTATTTATTGATCTAAAAAGGCCCTTATCAGGGCCGCCCACGCATTCATAGAAAGAGCTGTATTCGCTTATGCACACGAGTGTAAATGTTGGATGTGTTCGCTTGTGGGTGCAAATTGTATTTGTAGTATTGGAAAGAACACTAGAAGAACCGTATTAGTCCCATGATGGGGGGGAGGAAAAAACTCCGAAAGTGGTGTTAGTCGGGAAACTTCTTCAGAGGAACACTAATCTCGGCAATTGATACAAGCTCTTTGAAAAGAAAGTGACAGCATCTGAGAACAGGCTGGTTCTCATTTCATGCCATTTCCCCCCCCTTATTTCTGCCATTAAAAGTTAATTGCTCTCACATTTTCTAGTCGGTGGGTATTTTTTCCTGCACCCCCTTCGTCCCCACCCCCCTTTTACATAGCAAATAGAAAAGGGGAAGGGTTTATTTAGGAAAACGGGCGGAGAGAAACACGTGGGGACGTCTGCCAATCGCAATGCAGCTTGGAATGTTTCAGTTGCGCGCTTTCTATTGTTCTTTTTCCCGGTTCTTGTTGATTATGAATCCCAAGGTTAAGCTTGATGGGAAACGTGCTGCCTAAGTGGCAGAAAGGTTTTATAAATGGGCAGTATTCACCTCAACTCAGGATTTGTTTAACCATGATTTAGCCAATAAGTTATGACATGAACTGTACAATAAGCTTTTAGTTAATTGAGCTACTTTTCATAACATCTATGTTGCATATCCTGTCTGTAGGCTAACAGTAGTAGTCAAATTCACACACACACACTTTAGCCTAATAACCCCAGAATCATGTGCAAGTCATTTTTGATTAAACAAGTTAATTAAACATGTTTGCTTTGTGCAGAAATTTTTAAATAACTTGGAAACTAAGCAGCATAAACTGTTCTCCACCGAATTCTGCTCTATGCCTTTAAAGAATTCCAGAATGCCAGTAAAAATTTTCAGAAATTACCACCCCAATGCAAAACATAAGTGAGAAGAGTTCATATGCATTATACCCTATACTCAGTCTCATACTCAGGAGCTCAGCAGGACCAGGTTTTCTTAGAATTTGAATTGGATAGCACCAGATAATCCCAGAATTGTAAGAAAAAAGGCTAGATTGGGAAATTGAAAAAATGTCTCAGAAGAAAGCAAACCACATTCATCCTGCCAAAAAAATATTTTTATATCCTCCCTTTTTTACTTTATAAGTACAGGTAGTCCTCAACTTGCAACCATTCATTTAATGACCATTTGAAGTTACAATGGCACTCACTAAAAAAAGTGACAGTTTTTCACATTTACGGCTGTTGCAGGATCCCCATGGTCACATGATCAAAAATTGGATGCTTGGCAACTGGTTCGTATTTAAGGCAGTTGCAGTGTCCCAGGGCCATGTGACCACCTTTCCCAACCTTCTGACAAGCAAAGTCAATGGGGAAGCTAGAATCACTTAACCGTGTTAATAAATTAACAACGGCAATGTTTCACTTAACCACTGTGGCAAGAAAGGTCTTAAAATGGCGGACAACTGTTGCTTAGCAACAGAAAGTTTTGGCTCAATTGTCATAAATCAAGGACTATCTGTAATTCAAGGTGGTGAATATGCATAATACTCCTTCCTCCTCCTACTTTCCCAACAACAAGTCTGTGAGGTGAATTGAGTTGAGAGAGAGTGAACGGCCCAAAGTCACCCAGCTGGTTTACATGTCTAAGGTGGGACTAGAAGTCACAGTCTCCTTGTTTATAGAATAGAATAGAATAGAATAGAATAGAATAGAATAGAATAGAATAGAATAGAAT